ATTGATCGTGTGTATATATGCACAATGTATGGAGGAAGATCGCGAGAAGTGTACGTGTGACGTATAGATGTCGTCCGCCCTTCTATATGGCGCGCACTTGACGGATTTGCACTTCCGGATATACGTTAGGTACCTAGATTTTCTTGAGTAACAGGCTGCGTACGCGTCGATGGCCGCACGCCGGCGCTCTGCACAGAATTGGCGCCAGAATTAACTGCCATTACAGCAGCTTACTTGGATTTGCTGCAGCTTATCGTGCTAGATGCTTCATCTAAATCTGTAGTGGATTTTTTCCTCTAGAAAGACCCGGAGTCCTTTTCCCAATTCATGCCCTTGGCATCAAAGCAAGAATTCATCGGGTGATCAGAGTTCTCTATGCGTTCATCAGCCCCGCAACTTCTGCGAAAGCCACCGATGTGTCGGTGCCAGACCGGAATTCCAGTGTTGGAACGTATCTAGGTAAAAGTATCTAGATACAATATCTAAATACTTTAGCTGTACCTAAGTGCATTATCTAGATCCTTATAGGCGGAGATACCTGTATCCGTATCTAGTTATTGTTTGATATGGTATCTTTTAAGTTTTAGATACATAGATACAAGGTATTTATACACAAATACTATCGCCGCCATTAATAGCTCCTGCAGACAGAACGCGGCAACACTTGCCGTGCGGCGGAAGTTGGCGCGATAGCCAATTAACGTTTCGTCAATCAATTGTCGCTAATGTCAGCGTTCTTCAATTACCTCTGGGGCCTATCTATGATAATTTGCTCAGACACAATTTACGAGAAATTCCAGAAACCTAAATTAAAAAGCACTGAAGTTGAGTTTCTAGTTGAATATGTCACCGTAATGGGACCGATCGCAAAGTTTTTACATTTCCTGCAAAGTAAGGACATTTGCTATTTAGACTACGTAATTCCTACCTTACTTCAAATTAAAAAAACTTTAAATTCACTAAGTCATCTAATTTACTGCACACTGCTCAAAAATGCTATTCTTGATGGTATACATACAAGATATAAGGATATTTTGGACCTAAACAACAATAAATCCAAACCCTACATTTTGGCAACGATTTCACATCCAAAATTTAAATTCAGATGGCTGAATAATAGCGATGATAAATACAACTTAGTAAAAACTTGATTTTTATGCGAATGTGAAAAGTCGTACCGACAGGAAGTAAGCACAAATGAGGAGAACTCTTCAACGAGTAGTGATGATGAAGATTTCTTTCATGATTTCATCAAGAATTCCAATACAAATATTTCAATAGAAAAGCAAAACGTTGTATAAATGGAATGTTTACTCTACTTTGAAGATAAAAGCAAGACGTTGATTTGTTATTAAATTATAATTAATTCAAAAAGTATTTAGACAGTATAGTACTATTCTGCCGTCTTCAGCACCTGTTGAAAGACTGTTCAGTGCAGATGGCCAAATTTTAACTCCAAGAAGAAACCGATTGTTCGACACAATGTTTGAAACTTTATTAATGTTAAAAAAACGAAATAGCGATGTACAACAAAGTTATGTTTTGTAGTCTCTATGTTTTTTGAAGATGTTAGAGAGACCCCTATGTTTTTTTAAATATATGTGTTCGAGATATTTTTTTATATATTAAGATAAATAAATAACGATAAAATGTGATATTTAATTTACGTTGGTTATTATTTACTCTCTCCTGTTTTTCCCCAATTTTTCTTTTTTTTGTTGAAAGTACCTAAGAAGTATCTAAATTTTCAGATACTTTTTATTTATCTGTATCTATACTTAGGTAATTGTAAAATAATGTATCTATACTTATATCTAAATACTTTTCTCATACAATACCTATATCTATATCTAGATACCTTTCAAACAGTATCTGTTCCAACACTGCGGAGTTCTATCAGGAAAAGAAGATAAGGATGCTTGCCTCATTAAAAATTGCTCTTTTTCAAATTCACTACATTGTTCAAGGGTCGCGCGCGTAATGACGGTCGGGGGGGGGGGGGGGGAGGAACCCGAATTCAGATGTCCAATCCCACCCCTTGCGGAAGCCGAAGCTCCGCTCATAAACAATAAAGAATTTTATGTCTCACTAGCTAATATACTAAGTTTAACATTAAATTAACGCCCTAACACCCAGCAGGAGCACAAACAACAGGGCGACGGAGCCCAAAATTGCCTATAAACCGCGAAACGCAATTACACAACGAGACCGTGAAGACACATCCGCACAGCTCGAGGCGCCACGAGCGAATCTAATGACTTCCTATGAAAAATCTATTACAACACGTTAAATATAAGCTTAGAATTCTAAGATATAGTAAATTTAACAATAAATTAGTCAATAGTGAAGAGAATAATTTCATTATTTTCTAGTCATTCTTTATGTTTTCTCAAAATCGGAACTTTAGCCCAGGTCTCCCCTACACACACACACACGCGCGCGCGCGCGCGCACGCACACAAACACATACATACACACGCGTGCGTGCGTTCCCGCGCACGCTCGCACGCACGCACGCACCACGAGATGCAAAACCGACTGTGCAACCTCTATGTGGTACATTTTGAGTAGATAAGATAACCTTAGGCCGCTGTCTCATGAGCGGAAATTTACAATGTAACGGAATATAGAGAGACCAATCACAATCGCAAAAAAGAAAGCAGAATAATGATTGCAGAATTGTGATTGGTTGCACTGTAAATTTTTCGTTTCACTGTAAATTTCCGCTTATGGGACGGCGGCCTTAATAGCTGTGATTGCTTTTGGTTGCATAAGTCCCAACCTACAATACGTATTTTAAGCCTTAAGCCGTAAGAAATTGACCAATTACAGTCGAATGCGATGAGAATAGTTGACTATAAAGGCCCGTCTACAATGCACGGAGTAAGAAGTAAGAGTAAGAAATTGACCAATCACAGTCGATTATTCTTCTCACATTCGACTGTGATTGGTCAATTTCTTACTCTTACTTCTTACTCCGTGTATTGTAGACGACGCCTTAGCGTATTCGATTTATTGACTCGACCCGACTCCGAGTCAATGGTCTGTTCTGTTTAGCTGCAAAAGAAGAGCTATATTGTGCAAGAAATGCAGCTAAAAAGAACAGACCATTGACTCGGAGTCGGGTTGAGTCAGTAAATCGAATATGCTATATAATGGCTGCGTTCAGCAGACTCAGCAGTTTTGCAACCGTTTTATGATTCGTCGCGCTGATTGGATTATACTTTTAGATTTAAAGGAATAGTCCTATCTCAGCGAAGAATCACAAAGCGGTTGCAAAACTGTTGAGTCTGCTGAACGCAGCCAATTCGTCTATTTCTTATGACTTAAGGCTAAAAAATCTATTGTACATCCGGTAACGAAAAAACGCCACTGTTGCGGAGCGAATACGTGAGCACTCGCTGCTATTGGATGATTTAAAAGAATACCAATAGCAGCAAGCGCTCACGGATATGCTGCAACAGTTGAGCCTGAATGCGACCATTGCCATCGTTCTTTTAACATTCCCCCTAGCGCTTGCGCCATGCGGCGTGACTATCGCGATTCGTGAGTCTCATTGTCGCTCGTCGCCATTGTCGCGACAGTTTCGCACACGTGCTGCTTTTTTAATCAAGAAAAGTCTAGAATCTACAGAAGCACAACGAATAATCCTGACAACGTCGTCATTTTCCATCGATTCTTCCGTTGAAGTTTCGAGAATGCGTAGATCTTGCGTGATCGATACGTGATGCTTCCGGACGATTTCACAAGCCGAGTGCGCGGCAGTGATGCACATTTGGTCCTCGGCAACACGGAAAACCCGCCCCACAACTTTTACCCTTACAAGCAGACACCTACTAGCAGCGAGTCAGCCGACTTCGCCGCTGCGCGAGAGCGAGCGAGACAACAAAAGAGAACGTCCGTCCTTCTCGCTCTACCAGTAACTCGTACACACAAGCGAGTATTAGAGCGAAAAGGACGGCCGCTCTCTCTCGCTGTCTCGCTTCCTCTACTAGTCGCTTGTTATAAGACCGAAAACCGAAAATGTACTTTCTCGGCCGCTCGGCGTATTCATGTATAAGGGATAAAAAGATATGCACACACATTCTAGATAACGATTTTAATAAATAGATTTTAATAAATTTTAATAATATCATATAACCCTTCCATTAATAGCAAAAATGATTTTAAAACGCGACAGTTTACGAAATATTAATTGTTTGCGATTTTCAAAAAATATGTAAGCGTTACATATTTTTTAATATATCAGAAATTGAATACTAAATGTTCCAAAAAGAATATAAACTTTCTCAGTATTTTTCGTAGAGGTAATCATTTATATAAAAGTTCCAGGAAAACTTTGCATCAGGGCGCGATGAAAAATGGGACCGCTAGCACTGTGCGATTGCCGCGTGACCAGTGCAAACTTCATGACCCCCCATAGACATAAAATTATCTTTTTTTGCGATCTGTATTTGTTTCTACTCGCTTCATGCTTAGCACGTATACGATTAGAGATTCTTAAAATTCCTGTAGTGAAATTAGATTCCTGTAGTGATTAGAAAATTATATTGTTAGATTATTATTTATATTCTGTACAATTTAACGTGTAAAGTAGTTTTCCTTTTGTAGTAGGATTTATTTTGAATGTAGTATTAGTTTGATGGTTACGTTATTAGACGCTTTTTCTCTCCCTCTTTCCAGACAATAGTGTGCATTCTTGTAAAGGTATTTACAGTTACACTTTATCTTTTTTTCATTACTTGCTATTTTTCTTTGTTTTATATCTTTCTTTAATTGCTTCTTTTGTATTTTTGTATTCTTCAGTATGGAATGCATAGATTCTAAGCACGCAAAAAACGTAAATTTTCTCATGATTGGCTAGAAAACGAGAAATGTAAATCTTGGATTAAAAAAGTTCCTAATGATGACAGTTCATATTTTTGTATCCCTTGTAATAAAACGTTTTCTTGCTCATCAGGAGTTTTTGAGCATGCTGAATCGAAAGCTCATCGAACTAACATGGTAAATAATTGCTCTGATGATGTAAATGTCATTGAAAAGGAACCTCGTGAAAGGAAATTTTGCCATTCGTGGCTCGAAAATGAACAATTCAAACCATGGCTGCAAACAATCCCGAACTATCCTTTCAATTGTTTTTGCTCCTTCTGCAATCTAAAGCTTCGATGTGGTTTCGACAAGCTTATGTGGCATTCTGACAGCAAGAAGCATGTTTCGGAGTGTCAGAAAAGGGGTTTCAGCGTAGATTTGAATACGCATGACGAAGAACCTGTGCCTTTTGAAGATCGGAAAAAAATCACGGAAATAAAATTTGCAGCATTAATTGCCGAGGAAAACATTCCATTTAAAACAGCAAAATCAATCTTAAGTTTTTTTCAAGACCTCGGAGATGATCCTGAAGTCTTGAAAAGTATGAGGATGAATCGGAATAAAGCACCGAAAGTAATAAAGGATGTCTTATGTGTTCGCGAACAGGAGTGGTTGGTCGAAAAATTACAAAATAATAAATTTTCTATTTTTGTTGACGAAACATCTGACTTAACTAATGACAAATGGATGACGTTTCTTGTTCGGTACGTCGATCCTCATAGACGGAGAGCTGGCTACATGGGGTGTGACATGCCTCGGTGCATGAAATATTTTACCTGGAAAAGGTTCGATTGCTGCCAGCAAAGCGAAAGCTCGACCGTCAGAAGGCGCGCTGGAAGGTAAATGCGTGGGCGGACGATCAAACGTGTAAATTGTCCAACTAAAAAAACTGTCGATGTGCACGGCTGAAAATTTACATAGACATCGAAGATCATGAGAAAAAGCAGTAAAAAAATTGTCAGAAGGGTAAGTGGAAGCTAAAAGGTTGTCAGAAGCTGCCAAAGTTGCGAAAAATATCGGAAAATTTACATTTTAAAGAAAACTTCTGACAATTTAAATTTACACTGTTTACGTATAGAGCAAAGTATGTGCAAAGTGTCAGAAGTTAAAGTAGAAGAGATTATGAGAAAATCGGGTGTGAAGTGCAAGAGCGTATTTCGGCGCGCGGCGCAGCACCGATCGCTTTTCTTTTGATTTTCACGCCGTACATATTTTAGAGCATTTCTGACAATTTATCTGATTAATCAAGGGGGACTTGAGAAAGTATTATCAAAAAGTCAGAAGTCAACTCAAAAGATATTAATTTTGGTAAGAAAAAAATAAATTTTATTCGTAGCAAATATGAAAATAATCAATCGGTTTCATATTCTGTATGTCGTGCATTTTCTTCATTTTCCGGATCTTCATCGCTGTCATACTCGGATTCCTCGTCATCAACTGAAAATAGTAAATATTTAAATAAACTAAATAAATCATATGTACCATTAAGAGTCGCAAATCGAAAATTACCTTCCGAATCCTGATTATCCAAAATGACATCTTTTACTGATGGTGGCAACTGTGGGCCTTCAAACCATAGAAATTCATATTTGCTGTGAGTTAAGGTCCATCCTGATGTTTTGGGCTCAAATTCAATTGGATCCCGTAATATTGCCTTATTCCACAAGTGTGCAATATAGTGTGCTCTTCTCATTTGCTGTAGAAGCTCGGTGTACCAAGGTGGCAAGCAGGAAGCGTCGAAGTTTTTCAAATTTGCTTTTAAAAAGGCTTTATCAGTATTTTTAACTTTATAATTTCGGAGGAACATTCGATATCTGACGTTATTGATTTTTTTTTGTGTCTCATACATACTGCAAACGAATGCCTGTATTTTTGCAAAAATATTGTCTATATCGATCCCCGTATCTCCTAAACTAGCGAACGCTTGCTGAAACTCCTCGTTTTTTGCGAATATTTTAAATGGGCGCTGTTTACCTTTTCTAAAAAATGCAGGATTATAATCGCAACCGGTAAATGCATGAAATCCTGGCAATGCTTTGCACAGATCTAATCCTAAATGTTCATGAAGTACATTTACATCTATAATATGCCGACTTCTTGAAACGCCACACTCAATATAAACTTTTGCTGTTATTTTATGCAAATTACCTAACATAATAACAACAATATCTGTGTCAGAGCACTTTACGACAACAGTTGAATCTGAATTTATTTTAGACGCATGATAAATAATTTTAGTGTCGGCCTCTTCGTGCGAAGGACAAGAAAAATCTAATTTCTCCGTTTTGACAACATTACCATTAACGACGCTGAATGAATAACAATTAATAAAATTTAATAAAATAGTCCTATTGCCTATAAAAGCGGCTACATCGTTACTTTGCCAATGTGAAATGAGGAAAAGGACAAGAGCTTCTTTAAATCTGTCATTCCTCAGTTCTTTAGCAAAATCATGTGTCCTAGCTTGGTCCGGACCAGAGATAACGTACTCATGATTACTATCAGAACCTCCCCTTAACGAACGTTCGTAATCTTTTATAGACGGTGACCAGTAGCGATCAAATACTACATGCACACATGAAGCATTATAGTTTGCTAGAATTTGCAAAATTTTTTTTGAAATATTGCCGAACGATTGCGGCACATCTATCATTGTGTGAATTAAAAAAAAACCATCAACAATTACAACATCAATATGGTTCGGTAGAGCACTGTCATTTCGTAAAATTTTCATCATAGCCGATTTTTCGGTTTTGCAAATCGTGCCATCTAAATGACATAATGAAGTTGGTATCGGAGTCATCGGGAACGAAAAGATTTTTTCTATATCTGTCGTCTCTTCTATCGAAATCCCTAACAGTCGGCCGAATAAAGTTCGCGTTGCATGCGAACTTCTTGTACTTTATGGTTGATTGTTATTTTTTGCTTTTTATTACAAGTTGTAAAATTGATTATTTTATTCTGCTTTATAACAGTTTCAAATCTGCGATCATCTTGTGCGCACTCGGAAAGAAATTTGTCTTGCAGTTCCTGTCCTTTTTTTTCAACATTAAGAAGAAAATCAGGGGCACAGCGACCAGTTTTTATATTATATAATAAATCATTGCTCATTTCAATGCTATCAAAAGGATTCACATTTTTGTTCATTACATTAATAAATTTAAGTAAATGAGCAGAATCTTTCATTATTTGATTTTTTTCCAAACTAGAGGTCGCATCCTGAATTTTTTTTAATCCGCTAAGATCAAATACATACGAAATTATTGTCGATCTTAAACCATGACTCCTTGCCCATCGTTGTCGAGCACTTATCGAATTAGTAAAATGCATTATTCCTGTTAATCTTCTCGCTGCATCAGCATTTATGGTTTGTTCTAGTGTTAAATCTACTGGCACGCGCGAGAAAGAATTAGACGTTCTCTTTATCCCAAACATCCCTCTTTTAAACTCTTCGGCAAATTGCGGATGCTTTTGCTCGACTGTCAACAAATCATCATGATACTTTAAGAACCAACGTGCATAATTATTTTGATTAAACATAAAAAACAAATTGCATAACTTAGGAATTATAAATTTGTATAGATCGAAGTCTCCTACGCGAATGCTTCTTGTAAACATTAAATAATAATTAACAAATTCTATGTACATTACATAATACTGTGCTGTCTTTCCATACATTCCATTCAGTGTGTCTAGTTTGAATTCTGAATACTTTTGATTGTTGAAAGTTCTGCATCGGTCAATTCATCACTAGATAACTTTTCTGACTGCATTTTTATTAAATAATCTATTACATTTTCAGAAATAGTCATTTGATTGGTTGTAAGGAATTTCTGAATATGTAAAACTTGTAAAGCTAAGGAAAGTAATGGATGTAATCGTTTGCATCGATTGAAATGCTTATAAAACCGTTTACCGAGCCACTAGCTAACAAATTGCTTTCGATCATCATATGAGTTAATCCGCACTCGTCGATGAATTTTCCTAAGGTCTTAAAATAGGACACATTGTGTGAAAAGCACCCATATGTATAAAAAGGTCATCAAAATTCGGTTTTTCCACAGATTGAATTTGATAAGCGATTTTCGTAATCGCTAAATCATATGTAACTTGCATATAAGTTTGTTGACACTCTCTAGCAATCTGTTGACTTCGTCTCATCGTTTCATATACGACAGAGGGGTTCGTGGGCGATGCATTGATCGGCGTCAGATACGAGATTTTTTGCTTTGCACTGTTATCTTGAATAATTTTATGATTGAATCCAACCCACATCGGAGTATTCGGTACTTTACAGTAATGCGATGAAACCCATGCAATATCTAATTGTTTATAAAAATCATATTTTCCGGCTGATACTACACGTAAACCGCTATCAATGGATAATAATTTTTCGCGAAATACAGGTTTTTTAGTGTACTGTTGCAATTCGGGCATAATAGGATCAAAGTTTCTTCTTCTTTTAGCAGATGATTGATATTCTTCAGTGTTTGTACTTTCTTGACTTTCGTTCAATGCAGAGCTATCGATCTCGCAAATATTTTGGTAGAAAATACCGACCGTATCGTGCAACGTATCTTTGTCGTTTCAACAAACCGATCAAAATTATCAAACGCAACACCTGTACAATAATTTGGAGCTAGTATAGCATCCTCAGGAGAAACATTGAATGCATCGCATACAGAAGACGTAGCTTCTGTCTCAAACTCCTCGACAACATTGTAACTACAACAATGCCCAAATCTATTCATGAGATCAACGACTTTTCGACTACTTGTTATGCTTTTAAGCGTCATTCCGAGAGTCATATGTTTCGAGGTTTTCATTCTTCCGTGATGTATTACATAAATAATATCTTGCGAAATAGAGTTTACTTTACGCGCGCAATCGGAACTTTTTAGTGTTCTCGAATCGATACCGCACAAAAGATTTTGCATGAAATCCTCGAGATCTTTCGGAATTTCACATTCCCCAGCAATAATGTCGCTAAGTTTTAAAGTTGTTGGCAATGGTTTTTTCGCAATTAATAAAATTTTTTTTCTCAATAACATTGCAGCGCGTGATAGCAATTCAAAATCTTGAAATCGAGAAAAAGTTTCGTCATCAATAACGCAGCCATCTTTAGGAGCGATAGCTTTTTTTTTGAATTAACATTACTTGGATTTTGCCGTTAAAAGTTTTTTCTAATTTCTCCAAAAGATGTTGACAAATATATTTAACGTCAAAAGATTCCCATTCTTGAACATAATATTTCTCAAGAATTTGATTATAACAATCTGTTAAAAATTGGAAAAAATGGCATTCTTTGTTATTTATAATATTTTTCTCGACAAATCCGCAAATATCCGCGTACGTCAATTCATGAAATTTTTTTTTATGCCAATCGGTATCAGTTGCAGGTTTCATAATATTTTTCTTAAAATACATGATTTTGCACGGGTTATGATAGTAAATTGTCCCATTTACGCCTACAGCCTCTAATTTGCTCTCGATTTCGCGATCTCCACATTCATTCGCAATTGCAAAAATATCGTTTCTCAATTTTTCGACCACTGATGAGTGAAGAGGTACCGCCCGATAATTATACACTTTCCGGTTTTTATCGCAAAAAAAACAAATTCGTTTATCGTTGTCGCTCGCTTCTTCTCGCACACTTGATGCCTGTTTGCCACTTGCTCTATCCTCTTCAAGGTCAACAGACGATGTAGATTGCGTGGATTCTTTCCCTTGTTCAATATTGGCGGTATCTGAAATTATATAATAACATATAAATTTCTATATATCATGATAGTTCAAAAATCTTTATTAATAGTTTTATAAATATTAAAACTGTATTGTCAAAA